GACATTTCTCCTTGGTTCTAGGTTGGGTCTCCCTCTAGTCTGACCCAGAAAGGCTCGAGGACACCCAGCATGGCCTCAGGGCCAGCAGAGGGGCCTGCTTGGAGCTCCTTGGCTTCCCTGGGTCCTTTGACGCTTAAATGTTGCGGTCTTCCTGGCTGTTTCTTCTGCCGCTCCATTTAAAACTCCACGCCCCTCCCACAAAACTGCCACCCAGGAGGAGACTGTTGAGAGCAGCGCCTGAAGAGCCCCACGTCCTGTAGCCCGTTTGTTTCTCCCCCTTCCTGGGCAGGCCAAGCCACCCTGCTTCGGGGGCCTGCCTGGAGACGGTGGCCACAGAGCCCCCTCGCCTGCCCCCTTTTGCCGATAAATGGCTCGGAGCACAAGCAGCAACCGTTGGAAGGAATCCAATGAGGCAGGAGAGGTGGAAAACGGGCTGTTTTCTGTCCCCTCCCCGTCCTATCAAAAGCACCGTCTCCGGTTCCTTCCCAGGTCAGGCAGTTCCAAGTCAAGAGCAGAAGGGAGCCTCCCTCTCCACTCGCCTCTGCTCATCACACCTCAGAGCAGCCACTGGTGCCCCACACCAAATTGCACATTTCCTCATTGCACGTTGTGGGATTTTTTAAAACTCCTCTCCATTATCTCAATGGTGTCCAATTTCAACATTTTTCGTCCAAAATTGTGCTCTATGAAGATGAGGAATAAAAAAGGGGGGAAGATAACAGAAAGATAAGAGGGAAAAAGTTCTGCATTCTTCCTTTGTTAAGTACAAAATCCATCCATAATCCAAACACCACACATTTTATTTAAGATAAAAGGTCGGCATCTGGAGTGAAATGGCTTGGCCACGATGCCCCCTCTCCTCAATGGGTCTCTGAAGGACTCCCACCATTACCAACAGAACTCCTCTGGAAGAGCTGTCATCAGAGTTTCAGGTGGATTTATACTGTCTTTATGGTGTCTCTCCTCCTGCTCCTTTCATGGAGGGGTCAGCCCTGACCCACAGCCAACCTCCCTGCTGTTTCCAACAGCTGAACCCCCCAAAGGGAGAAAGCCGGAGTCCACACAAACAGTAGGCGCAAACCAACTACTGAAGTCCACAGCTCAACCTGCCAAGGGCCAGCCAGGCAGACTCTGCTCTAGGCGGGGCCCGGTTCTAGCACAGAAACTGGATTGGATGCAGCTGCTTACGCTCCGAG